GATGCAATCAACATATGATAAGAATGTTACTCATTCAAGTGATTCTAACAGTTATTTTAAATATTCCATACATTGTTATTTATCTTCTTGGATTCTATGCAACACTACCTCTGAATCCATTGTCTTTGTTCCTCTATATTATATTTAGTTTTATTGGACGATGGTTCTATTATATGAACTATTGCAAAACATTTTATCTAAATACATTAACAAGTCAAGTATTTCGGAACAGTCTCAAAAATCAATTAATCTATGTAGTTCGTCGACATAGAGGAAGAGCCCTTCCATGGTCAATAACTGCTACAAACACGAATAAAAATTAGATTTTCTTTATTTCTGTACATTCGCAATCAAATACAAGGACGAAACGTATAAGACGTCAAATCGATCCACTTTTGAAATCCTAGAACTTATGTATGATTCGATGCAGAATTTAATCATCAAGAAAAACACTGGCTTTACTGAGAAATAATCGGTTTCTCTAAGTAAAAACTATCCGTCTTATTGTGTTAGTTAATTCAATTATCGGATGTGCAGTTATACAAAAGTTAATGGAAGACTACAAGTTTAACTCGTTTAATTAGAAAAATCAGATGAAGATATTATGATGCAAGAAGATTATCTTCGACAAGATGTCCTTATATAAACGTATACCCCCATATAAACCCGTTCTCTTTTTACCTTGTTTGAAACTGATCTCGTATTTAATTTGAGCCATGAATGCTATGATGAAACATTTTTTCTTTGTCAAAATTCATTTCTCAATTAGAATTAAGATATCCTGTAATAAATAATAAATAAAAGTGAACATTGCCGAACAAACAACACAAATGAAAATAAATCCGATTTTTGTTTTGTTCCAAAAGTTTTCCGAAATGGATGAGAGTGAAAGGAAGAGTATAATCCTCAATCTCCTTGAAGATTATAAGATTATTAGTTGTTTTAATACTTCTCTTTTGGATTGGATCATTGGTTATTTTTTTTGCCCCCAAAACAGTCAATACTCAGATTTCTCTCTTCTTTTTACATTGTCAGCTCGATGTAGACGAGCGTCTCTTCGTTGTTCGAACACATGCGCACTTGCACACGCCACTGATTATCTGAATATCTAACTTGTCAAAAGAAAAACACACATGCATGTACGTAGTGAAGAGAGCAAGTAGCACGTATAACAATGGAAGAGATAGAGAGAAAAGAATAGCACCAACAAGCAGAAGGAAAAGAAGAAGAAAGGTCGATCGGTATAGAGTACGGCTAATAGTTCTCTCTACTCAAGTTGAATGTGTGTTCACACACATTCGATCAATGTTGAATGTCGATTCGGTGGTCATTACTCGTCGATCGTCGTCGTTTACCCCAAAGTTCTTCGTATTGTTTTCGAGAGAAATAGTTCACGTTGTTTTTCTGCTTCTGTTTTGAAGCCGATCGAAACTTCACACTTCCTTCTGTCGATCGTCACTTGGCGGGCGTGGGTTTGGATAAATTGAAGATTAACATAAGCATCCAGACCCACACTCACACACTCAAGTGAAGTTAGCAGTGGATTCGAATTTTTCTTACTAATATTCGTTCTGGATCTTAGGTTGAGTCTCTAACTGGTTGGGCTATATAGAGAGTTCAAGTCTGCATCGAGTGATGGTATTCTCGCGAATTCATAGGACTCAAAAAAACTGAGTTCTGCCGTATTCTCACTTTGAATGCAGGCGATTCCAGATTTTTAGAGTGATTTTCCATTTCCAGCTTCCACAATTCTACTGCAAAGTTGCCACTCTCACCCATCCTCAGCAGGATACGTAGGTCGAAATGATTGGCATAGATAGTTTATTTTAAAAAAAAAGCCGTAAAATAACCGAATCAGTCACATTTTTCGTCGAGATTTTCTCAAAACTTCATATATCTTCAAACCAATTATAAAAAATCCTTTACTAGAGAACAAACTAATTGATGAATTTTCGTATTATGCGCTTTGTGACCATGAAGCAAATAGAATGATCTGAATATCATCTTCTCTTTTCTCCCTTTATTTGTAATCGGATTTGTTGTCCATCATATTTTGTTTGTGTGCACTCTTCAAATTGAAACAACTCTAGTAAAATCTAATGTAGATTTCTCTCATAAAATACTTACAAGTGTCTCTTGCCACTGTTTATTTATTGCAAACACAGACATGCATAATCCGAAGTTCATTTTCTTTCATTTCTTCGCTGCATCGAAAATTTTTTTACCCTTGAATTTGCTTGTGCATGTTCTTCAAACCTACACAACTCTCGCAAAAGTGCTGTAGTTTTATCGTAAGATGAAGAAAAGAGAATGAAAAAATTGATTGGCATATAAAATACGTTGCCTAATTTTTAACGAAACATAACAACGAGCAACATTGAAAGTGAGTTATGTTTTAATCTTTCCTTGATGCAAAATTTCTGACAAACTATCCTTTGAAGTAATCGATTTTTTCGTGCACAGGTTTGTATTCTGAATGTGATTCAGATTATCTAAACGATTGAACAGAAATGATAGAAAAGTTCTACAATGGAACTTTATTTGATCCTCGGCAAAAGATAGTTAGACTCTATATTTATTCTAAATATCTACCATAGACCACACTTTTTAAGGGTAAATTTCTTAAGGGCACAGTGAAGGTGTGCCATTTGCAAAGTACGGGAAACTGGCTTTGAGATGGAAAAATTGGATCATTTTCTGCTCTATCATCTGGGGGTGTCAATTTAAATTTAACTTGCATTTCATAATCCATTAAATTGAGAATTAAATTAAATTATTCTATCTGACGTTCAATTTTGTTGCATTTTGCAAAATTTTTCGCCTGGTGACTACTAGATGTATGATTTCTGTAGTCGGATCTTATTGGAGCTGATAAGAAATTGATTAGAGTTCCACTAGCATTTTATAAAATATAATTAAATCCAATAAAATCCCATAGAATTCCGTTTAACGAAATCCTATCCGAGTTCATAGACTTGAACTAGATCAGATACTATTCTGAGAATCGTGGCGGAGGAGCATCCTCAAGCATGGTGAGGCTCATCATATTTTTTTCTGTTATCAAATTTTATCCAAGCATCGTGAAGAATATAAGTCTTCGCATTATTGAACCTAAGTAGGAACTAAAACAGTCATTATGAAACAAAAATGATTTAGAAAGTACCAGAAAATAGTTTTTTCTGTTCATTGTTTGATGTCAGAATATGTATCTGGATGTGTTAGATGCTTAATATAATAAATTATGATATGAACAGGTGAAAATGAATCTATCTTCATACAAAACTACTTCATTTACTGATTATACTGAAATAACAGGAGCCAGTTACATAGTCTAAAAGAGCACAGTCTACTATCCAAAACTCATCTCTCGACTCTTTAATAAAAGCTTTTCTAATGACATATTGGGCCAAATAATTCAACAATGCGAGGTGAAAGTATAATTTTGAACATTACTGTAGAGGCATACCTATTACAGTGTAGGTGTAAGGATTATCTATAAGTGTATACCTATAAGGATGTAGATATAAGAATATACCCATGAAGGTTTAGATACAGAGATATAAGTATAAGTTTACAGATATAGGAGCATTTGTTTTTACATTGAAATACGTTGAGATACGGTCAAAAACGTAGCATGTATACGATCGTATTCATTGCATGTGCGGCCATTTTACGGCTCCTTTTTGACTCTGTGCGATGACAGTACGTTATCGTATACGATATGGCGACGAACGACCGTTTTACTGCGAAAGCCAAACGAGTCATTCTCGAGTCGTGTACAATCGTCGTAATGATGGACCTGGACTTTAGTAGAGGGTAGTTTATTAACGTTAACAACTGTTTTCGGTGGCATACGATAAAAACTAATCGTCGTACATCACGCCGTTTACAGTTTGCGTTTATATTTTACGACAGTATCCGAGCATAGTTTACAGTCGTCGTATGATTACGGCAGTCGTAAATGACGAGTTTTGACGGTTAGTTTTCTCGATGATCGTCATATACTGTAAATCATCGTATATAAGTGATTTAAACGATAACAGTAACCGACTGTCGTTTTCCGTCGTGACTGGAGGACATACGGCCGTTTACGATTGTATGTGATTCACCTGGAAAAGCTTCAAAGCCGATTTTGGTTTCTGTGTATGCCTATGAATGACTAAACCCGGGATTCCGGTACCGGGTATGACCGAACCCGGGAATGACCAAACCTGGGAACGACCGAATCTGGAAATACCAAATCTGGAAACAACTGAAACTGCGAATGACCTAACTCGGAAAGTTCGGATCCGGTGCATATCTATCTTTATCCATGTCTACAATGAATGAAAAGATCTAAGTAACTTTAATGAGTTTTGAAATTTAATCCATTAAAAGTGTATTTTTGTGATGAGTCTCGAGAAATAATGAAAGAGTGAATCGATTGTTTCATGGAGATAGTATGAAAAAACGGCTGAAATCAGATTGAATTCGACAGGTCTTATATTACACTAATAGAACGATTAAATAGTGTTAGATTTCTGGGTTCTAATACACCTTAATTAGTTTTTGAGGGTTAAAAGTCTGTTAAAAGTCGTTATATTTTGTTCAATTTTCAATCATAAAAAAGTCAATTAAAACCAGATGTGTTTTTTGTGTGTTTATCTGAATATCGTGAAATTGTTTTTGATTAAGTACCTGTTTTTAGTAGAAATGACTTGAAGCGTTATATATAAGTTTACATGTTTTTCTCTTCCTTCACATGGTATGACATTCTAGTTGAATCTAAATACATCGGTTTTTTTCTCTATTTCTTCTCAATATATATGAATTTTCGTGGGGTGAACTATTTCTTCATAAAGCGAAACAATTTTCGCATTGATCAGTTCAATGGGCCACTGCAGATCTTAGCCGATGATATTGAGATCGGCGGATGTATCATACTTTTTAAAACTTGATTTTTAGTTATTTACGAAGTATATTTTATGTATTTTGCTAGCTTCGAGAACGAGATCAGAATTATGAGCAATAATAGTAATCACAGTTATGTCAAAGAAGTCGCTGAACGGGGAGTACGAGCTTATCGTCTGTTACGTTCGTACGATGATGATGCTTGTGTCAATCTTCATCATGGCGACTGCGTGATTCCGCCTCATCCAGTGATACGAAATGCACTTAGAGAAGTCGCCGATAAAATGGAAATATGGAGAGAAACGAAGAGAGGTGGAATTAGTGTTGAATTGAATCGATACCGTGTTGGCAGTTTGATGATAATGCCTGAACTTCGCGAGGCTATCTTGGATGATTTTTCTAAATCGATGCCTTCCACTTTTAATCGAACTAATGCAGTTGTCCATATCGGAGGAGGAGTAACGCAGTTGGTCGCCGCTTTATTCAATCATTTTCGGCAATCAAATGATATTATACTTATGTTTGCACCAACCTATGGAGCGTTTCTTTGTGCTGCTTTAACTGTTTGTAGCAATATTCGTCTTGTTAAGCCGACGAGTAACGGTCAAATTACTCCTGAACATATAGAAAAAGCGCTCGATGAATGTCCAGAGGCAAAAGGCATTTTTCTTATCAATCCAAATAATCCAACAGGCCAGTATTTTAGGAAAGAAGAACTTGAGAAAATCGCCCACTTAATAATCGAACGTGATCTTATTGTCATAACAGACGAGGTTGTTCATAAGCTTGTACTTGATACCAATAATAAATTTATAAGTATGGCATCAATCGAAGTTGATGGCAAAAGTATGTTTGAACGCACGATTACTTTACGTAGCGTATCCAAAGATCATGGGTTGGCGGCTCTTCGGTTAGGCTATGCGATCGGTTCAGAAGAACTTATGAACACTGTACGTATTAGCTGGTTTACATATGCAACCAGCTTCAATATAGATGATCTTGCTCAATATTTGGCTTTTATTGCATTATCTTATACACCAGACGAATACTATAAGTTTCAACAGGATTTACTTCGGTGTCACAGTGATATTGTCATCACTTTTGTCGAAGATATAAATCGGAGAGCCAGTTATGAGGCACTGAAAGCCGAACAAGTTTCTGCAGGAATGTTCCAAATTATTGATTTAAGTGGTTTGCGAGGCAAACTATATAATGAAACAATATTGGACGATGATCATGTACTCTGTGAACTATTATTACAAGACGGAAAGAATGGAGTTGGCTTTTTTCCTGCTTCTTGTGGAGGATATGATCCTAGAGATATGAAGTTACGACTTACATTATCTTCGCCAGAACAAGATATTAGTTTAGGCATGAAAAGACTGGATGACTTTGTGCAGAAAGTATTGCGTTTTAATTAACAACTGTGAATCGGCCTGTTCGAGAGATCGTGTCCTCTCATTTGCGAACATAAAATCGAAACAAAAAAATCTGTTAAATTTAATTTCAGTTATTTTTTAGATTTAAGTTATTCAAATTTAAAATAATCTTACGTCTAAAATTTTCGGTTTTCAAATTTCAAAAAAAAAATCACTGATATAAATTTTAAAACTAATTAAAATTTCAGTCATATTTTTAAACTTGTTGGAATTTATAGAGTTCGCTAAAGATTGAGTTTCATTATTTTAATTTAATGATCTGTAATTTGTAGAGTACGCTAAACTACAACAGTGCTTCTTTTCTTTGTAATTACTGAAATTTATAGAGTTCACTAGATATTGAGTTTCACTATTTCAACTTACCGAACTGTAATTTGTACAGTGCGCTAAAATATAGTAGTGCTTTTTTTATTCTTAATTAACTGTAATTTATAGAGTTCATCAGACATAATTGTTGGTATGAATGCCATCAACTGTTTTTGATTTTGAAGAGATCATATAATTATGGTAGTAAAATGGAATCGAACATTGAATGGATATAATTGATTGGGATACAAAAGCATTTATAAACTAAAATCACATATACAAAAAATGGTGTTCTAAGCAAAGCGGCTCAGAAATATAGATGTTAATGAGCGTCTTCTCTTGACAAGCACAGTTCGATTCGTCCACACCATAGTTGAAACAAATATCAAATTATCACAACTAGTTATGATACAGTCTTCTTCAAAACTCGTTTTATCTGTAACTAAAGTCGTTCTTAGTTTAGCTCAAATTGATGACCCTTGCTCGTGCACTATGAGTATCAGTTTATCAATAACAAAAGAAAAAAATCAGCTTGTACATTCTATTTTTGACTTCTATTGAAATTCTTCGGAGCTAGATTCAAAGGAAAATTTCAGTTCAGCTAAAATCTAACGCCCTTCACAAGTTACAGCAATAGTAATAAATATAAAAACCTTCTTCGATCAAAACCTTACGTCCTCTACAAATTGCAGTAACTATCTGAATCTTAAAAAGTTTTTATTGCCAAATAACTAACGACCTCGACAAATTGCAGCATGCTTAGTGAAAAAATTAATTTTTATAAAAATCTTTTAAAACAATTTACTTTCAATATTCGTTCGCAGTAATGAAATTTTTAAAAGTTAAATATAAATTTGAATTGTCTTACAAAAAATTAATAAAAGTATCAAATTTACATCAAATGAAATTTTAAAAATGCTAATTTATTTAAAATTTGTTTTCTTCATGTTCGTAAATGAGAGGTAGCCACGTTTTATAGAGGTAGTCTCGATGCAATTTCTGAGAAAATTTCAGTCTTATCATTCAAGGTATGTGGGAGAACAACTTATTGCACTGGAACTATATATGAGGGGTAGAGACAAGAAATGTGTAACTATGGACTAGATTTCTCTTGAAGACAGATATTGAGTACTAATCATATATAGGTATTTTGTAAAGCAAAGAAAGGTGCATCTAATTCTACTATGCGAATTCAAAAATATGTCTCTTGTGTGTAGCAATAGGGAGCACAAAATATTTCTGTGTTAGCAGAAATTTAGATGAGACTCAAATAATGATGACCCTAGAAATTTTTCCTACCAAAGCGAAAGTCAGAGAAAAATACAAGAAAATACGTAAAAGCATGCGGACTTTCTTATGGTATACAATTCGGATAGATTTTAAGGGGGTCCCAGATCTTCAATCTTATCCGGCGGTGTCCTTTGTCATTGTCAACCATATTATCTCATACAAATATTCGGCGTAAGAATTGATACCAATTTGATTATACGTATTTTGTTATTTTAGGGAAGACGTGGTTCTGTAGACTGTATTTTTAATATCGTCGCGGTGGCGGTACAGCAGTGGCAGGTTTTCCACCGCGATGGACATTTCTGCGCCATCTATCGACTGAAAAAACATAATTTGATCTATAAAAATTCTGAATATACCATTGGATAGAGCTCGTCAAGTTGTACTTGCAACAAGAATAGGAGCTTTAGAATATGTTTCTAGGCGAATCGCAGATGAAATTACTCGAATCCGTCGCTAACTTCACCTACATCGCTCTTTCTTAAATGAAAAAGGTATTTTTTTTCAGTTTTCTTCTCGATTTATCCTAATCTTTATATATTTTTACTCGTACATTTTCTTTTATTTCCATGGCAAAGTATCTTTCAGTTATGTAGATTTAAATTATTACTACTAAAAATATCAAAACCAAGTATTTGTTCTCTTGTTAAATGGTGAAATTCTGCTTTAAACTAGATTGTAATTACAACTTGAAAAATAATAAGAACAAAATATGTATCTCGCTTTCATATATCTATCATTATCTTATACATTGTGATAATTTATAATAGTAGCCTTTTTTAGTAAGTAATTGATGATGAGATCCAGTTTCAACGATATGTCCATTATGAAGCACACATATTAAATCTGAATCTTGTATAGTCGATAGACGATGTGCTACAACGATCGAAGAACGACCAGTTACAACATGTGTCAATGCTTCATTAACAGCCTATATTAATATAATAATGATTTTAATTAATTCGAAAATATTTACTTTTTCACTTTCACTATCAAGTGCCGATGTAGCTTCGTCTAATAAGATCACTTTTGGATTTCGAATTAAAACTCGTGCAATTGCTATGCGTTGCTTTTGACCACCCGATAATTGACCACCTTTAAAGCCGACACATGTATCATATCCCTATTTTTTTGCACATAATTCTTCTAATTGAAATAGAAAAAAAAGTAAACAATACCTGAGGTAACCTTTGGATAAAATCATGGATATTCGCATTTTTAGCTGCTTCAATTATCTCCTCAATTGTTACTTGCCGTGATAAATCACCATAAGCAAGATTTTCTGCAATCGATACATTGAATAATGTTGGTTCTTGAGAGACCATTCCGACTTGCGAACGCCACCAATGCAAATTAATATCACGTAGATCTTTCGTATCAATAAGCTGAATCGAATAAATCGAATATATAATATTTATTAATATGAAATTTTTTACATACTACTGATCCACTTTGTATGTCATAAAAACGTTCAAGAAGATGTAATAAAGTACTTTTACCATTGCCACTCATGCCTAGATAAGAGAAGGAATTTACGCTTTTTGAAGGGTAAGACATTGAGGATAAACCAAAGTACACATCAGTGAAGTTCATTTAGAAAACATACAAAATAATATTAAAACTCTTGTTTTTCCACAACAAGTTGAAATTTAAAAATTGAATAGTGTAAAACGAAAATTGATCAAACGACTTCTATACCAGAGATACTAGCTATTGGGCTCATAACTTGCAGATTATTCCGTTTACAAAAATTTTCTCTGTTATTCTTAACTCTTTTGTTCCAAATATAATTTTAGTCAGTATTCTTTTGCTTCTCTACTATCTGACATTATTCATGCAATCGAATGAAATTCACATACTGACCTACAATTGCTACTCGTTGTCCTAAAAGAATAGAAAATAATATCTTTTTTTTTTTAAATAGCCAAAATTATGGCTTCATACCACTTTTGATATCAAGGTTAAAATTATTCAATACTGATACACGTGATCGTGTAGCATAAGCAAAGTTAACTGCTTTGAAATGAATATCACCCGTAAAGTTTTTCTAAATATGGATTTTCAAAAAAAAGGTCATTGATATACTCTCATATTCATCTTCGTTACTAGTTTCGATCCATGTAAGTCGATAGAAATTTTCGGTTCTCGAGCAAATAATGCAAGCATTCTTCGTGCAGCTGAAACAGCTTTTCCATAATCAGGTACCCTTGAAATCTATTTCATTTTTAAATTATTCAAATACTAAAACAAGCACTTACATTGCAGCACTATATGGAACACTTTGAGCACCGATTATTATACAATTCACTACTCTATATTAAGAAAATATAATTTCAAATAAAAAACAAAATCTATTCAACTAACATCATGACATTTTTAAATAACATTTCATTTCGTTTAACAAGAATACCACCGTAAAAAAATACAGCTGCCATTGAAAAGAAAGCGGTTGAAGAAGTAAAACTATATGCCAATGCAAATATATAAGTTCGTCTAATAGATGATCTGTATACGAAAAGACATAATTGATGCTGATGTTTTCTTGTTATCAAAAGTTAACCTATATGGAATATCAAGTAGATGATAATAATCATTAATGAATTGCATTTCTAATGTCAATTGTCTTAAAGTACGAATATTCTGTAATGCTTGAAAAGCCAACTAAGAATAAAATTTTAAAAAATCATTTGAAATTAGAAAAAATCTACGAACCGATCCAGCACATTGAAATGCTTTGTTATTTTGACTTGAATAGCCGTACATAAGACGAATTTGTAAGAAACTACCGATGACCATAAAAGGAACAAATCCTAAAGCTACTAGACTTAATTTCCAACCGAAAATAAATGCGATAGTTATTCCAACACTTAAATTTCCAACAGTAGATAGGATTACACCTATACGTGCCCCTGCGACCTATTTTCGAATATGGAATATTATACTTATTATATATTTCAATACATACTCCTTGAATAGTCGCTGCTTCACTTGATAAACGTGTGCAGAGTGCACCGGTATTATTATCTGGATGATCAAACCAAGCTATTTCTTGTCGTAGAATAGCTTGAAATGCTTTAGCACGTAAGCGTTTAGTTAAAGCTTCACCCGAACAAGCAAACATGAAATTCTTAATAAAAGAGCAATTGATGTTCTATTGGTAGGTTATCATTTGTTCCAGATTGTGATTCCATGAATTAACCCCCAAATCATATTCCCATTTGGGGATATGATTTTGGGATTGATTCAGGGACCCACAATTTGAGGGAAATGATAGAAATTCTGTCCTATTCAATTCATTCTATCGGATACCTGAGTAAATATTGTAACGAAAATAAAAACAGCTATTATAATAAATAAGATAACATATAAGCGTATTTTTTGATTTTGTGTTTCAATATCACATTCTTGATAGACCTGAAGTTAAGCAAGATTAATTGATGGGTTGTTTTGTGTAAATTAGCTTACTCCAACTATTTCACCAAGTAAAGCACAAGTTCCTACTTCAAAACCACCGTTGAACATAGATGCAAGAGCACCAATTATAATTAACAATATCTCTGGTCGATTCATTTTTAATATAGCTAACGAAGGCCAATGCTATAAAAGATAATTGTTAGAAATGAGAAAAAAGTAAAATAGAGTATGTCACTATTTTCTTTTTAGAATTAATTTTGATTTTATTTTCATCCTTTTGAAGAATACTTTTTTCGTCCTCAGAGTCTGAATCACTGGAATTTTCTGAATAAAAGATATTTATATACAACATGAAAGAAAAGTAATATTATCTTACTAATAAATGGTGTTAATTCTGGTGATGAAGATATATTATCATCAACTTCATCAAATGGTTCTTGAAATACTTGAGCTTTTACCAAAGAATAATAGTTTGATTGAAGTTTCATTAGTGTTTCATGATTGCCTTCTTCAATGACTCTACCATTATCAATCACAATGATTTTGTCCGCGTGACATACAGTTGATAGACGATGAGCAATAATAATAGTAGTTCTGTCTAGTATCCCAAAGAGAAGATGATGGCTAATTATCAACATCAAGGATGATAATCTAACTCTACATCGATTTGCCTTCTGTGTTCCTAGAAAGCCTCGTCTATAAATATTCGACTCAAAACTTCATATCCTCTTTTCTTTCCTTTAATTATTCGCCTATGGTTCGTCATTCGAGCTTTAATCTTCGATAAGTGACTGTCGAGAAAGTTGAGCAAGTGCTCAAGTAACCAATTTCAAACAAAAATAACTAAGAATAGACATGTCGACAGTCATATAGTGATTTCTTTTCTTTTCGTATTCTAAGAAAAGAATTGGCAGCATTTTTAGAAAGGATATGAACGCGATATACCTTTTGATGCCTTCTCCAGTGCTTGTTGAACCATTTTTTCGCTTTGATTATCAAGTGCACTAGAAGCTTCGTCTAATAATAATAATGTTGGATTTCTTAATAGAGCTCGAGCAATAACAATGCGCTGTCGTTCACCCCCAGAAAGCTGCGTACCATATTCACCGACCACTGTATCATATTTCTGAAATGAACAATTACAACATATATATGAGTGGTTCCATGGGTTCTCAACCACAAAAAATACAAAGATATTCAAAAAAAAATGTTCTTTTCTATTAAACTTTGTAGAGCCTTCCTTGCTGATCATTTTGGTATAAAAATGTTATGGATTTCCTTCAGAAATGGCTGAGTTATAGTAAAAATACTGAAAATCCTAAAATTGCTAAAAATGAGTTTTTCATAGCAGAATATTTCATTATTTGTGTGATTTTGATTTATATTACACTTAAAGTTTTTATTTATGTTATATATTCTATTAACTCAGATACCACCGTGAAAGAAATCATAAATTTGAAGTGTATTTCTCATTGAGTTTGACTACCATACAATGATCATTGTCCGTTACTGACTAAAACAGTTTATTAATATATCTCAAAATGCCTATATTCTAGAGAAGCGAGTCATAGTGAATTTTGTAGAGCGAAGTTTGCTCTACAACACCTTGTATTCAGTTTCTCATTGAAGGTCAAAAACTTTGAGAAAATTTCGATAAAATATTATGAAGGACAAATATTATCAATATAAAGAATTTTATAGGAATGAGTAGTTTTGAATTTTTATCTATGCGAACTGAAAACTATATATAACATCTACTTAACTAAGAAAATATAATTGACCAATATCAAAACACTTTTTGACATCAACTGCGATAACTATTGGTTAGTCCTTTGACACCTCGTATGTAAAAATTTGAACAGTTCAGTATTTTTACTATAACTCAGCCGTTTCTGAAGGAAATCCATAACATTTTTATACCAAAATGATCAGCAAAGAAGGCTCTACAAAGTTTAATAGAAAAGAAAATTTTTTGAATATCTTTGTGTTTTTTGTGGTTGAGAATCCATGGAACTTCTCATATAATTCGGAGAAAATACATGTGAACCACTTAAAATTTTTACCTAGTGCACTGTATATATAGCATCATCAAGCATTTATTGATAATTTAGATCAGTATTCAATAATGGTCGACTCTTGAAATTATTTAAAATATAAGGCTGTTGGAGTATGTTTTCATTTGAAAGGTATGCTCAATTTCTTAACAAATATCTTGTGTCAGTTACCTGTGTTAGCAGAATGAAAATAGCTCGAAGCGGAATTATGCCTCCCTTAATAAAAATTCGCAAAAAACACTTGACAAATAGTTTAGTGCACAGTAGAATATCTTTTCATCAGAAAATGTTTAAAACAGCCTGTTTTATTTTGTTTCGTTGGATCTAAAAAGGGCATCAGATATTAGTAGAACTAAGAAGAAAACCTAGAACTGTTTGTTTTAAAATTGTCTCGAAATATGTCTTCAAACGAACTACTACAGAAACGAAATAATTCAAAACATTTTTCAGGAAGAACGTATGTCAATCAGCAAAGAAGAACTATCGAAAGCATTTTTGTACGACAGAACTACAATAGCAAAAGCATTTTCTTGCGAATTGCAAAGTGCAAAACAGGTGAGTGACAGGTGTGGATGTAAGAAGAATGAAAGTTGAAGAGAGAAGAATCATTAGAGGCTATCATTTATATACACATTTGTCACATTGTATCATGAGCAATCATAAACAATCGAACCTCGTTAAGAAAAAATCGCTTAAGGGAACACTCCCTTTCTTGACCTAAAATTTGAAGGTTTTTCGTTTTTCAGTTTTTGCAGATAGTATATAGATCTAAATGTTCTCTTTCCATTGAGCACATTTTGAGAACTGAAAACATGCATTATATATATATATATAAAGCTTGAAAAGCACTTCAAAATACGCTAAAAAAATTTTAAAAAACTCGACTTTTGTTGCATTTTTCTCAAAATCAGGTTTTTTAAGAAAAAATTGAAGTTTCCTCCCTTTTTTTCTATAGAGTACGGCCTACAGTTCTGAAACTTTTAATAGCTACTTCGATGAAATTGGATACGTGTTTTTTTTTCTCTGAAAAATATTGTTCCTAGAGAATGTTGCTAAATACCACAGAATTAGCACTATAGAAAAAAAACATGCTTTTTGATAGTAGCTGCAGAATTTTTGTTCTTCTGAGCCCCAGGAACAGTACTTCTTAAAGAAAAAAACACACGTCCCAATTTGTTCCTAGCAGTCACAGAAAAAATTTCCGCCCGAAAAGTTGAAGTATGGATTTTTGCAAGGAGGAAAACTTCAGATCATTTTAGCCCTTGAACTCTAAGGATCTTTGGGAAGAATGCATTCGAAGATTTCAAGTCTATAACAACTTTTGTTCTACTCATCGAGATCTATGTGCCCTGAAAGTTTCAGAATTTTTTGCTGAACCTTTCTCAAGAAACTTCGGAAAGGGGTCTTCTTAAATATGTTTCATAATGCTGATTTTCACTGTTATGCACATTTGCATCATATTCTCTCAATAAAACATATGGATTCATGAATATAGAATTCAGAAACACAATAACTTCATCGAGAAAATCTGATCATTTTAGCTTTTTAGATTGAGAACGTTTACGATAGACATACATCAGGCAAAGACATAATAAAATTGTGTGCATTAGCTGTCATGGCCGCTGCTTGAATATCAGCAAAAGTTGCATTCGGTTGACCATATTGAATATTTTTGAGAATTGTAGTTGCAAAAAGTACCTAAAACACATATTAAATAAGAGATATTTCTTCATCAAAATTAGTAGTTACCGGCTCTTGATTAACAACACCAATTTTTCGTTGTAATTCTTGTGAATCAAAACACTCGATAGATTGATCATCAAGCATTATTTGTCCTCTAGTTGGCTTATAGAATTGCTGTAATAATTGCATACACGTCGACTTTCCTTAATAAAACAAATAATTCTTTGAAAAATTGAATATTATCTGTATACCACATCCACTTGTACCCACTAAGGCTAAAGTTTGTCCAGCCTCTGCTTCGAAAGTTAAACCACGTAAAACAACCATATCCGGCCTTGATGGATAGGAGAAAAATACATTATTAAATTTTACTTTGCCACAAAAATTCATGTTTGGTATTTTCCGATCGGTAGTACATATCGTTTGTTCTTCCTAAAAATCAATTTCTACAAATCTAAATCCAAATTTATTCTTCTTACTAGACGAAGTATATCCCATACGGGAGCAGCTGCAATTTTTGCTTGATTGATCGATTCACGATATGTTGTACTTCGTCCAAGTGACAATAAAGCCATAATAACATTAAAAAATATCTAATACAATTCGAATTGTATAAAAAGTCGAAGGATCTTCTACACTCACAAAAATCACATTTGATATATCATAATTTTCATTATGAATCAAATAATTTCCATACCAAAAAGAAATTGCATAAGAAGCAAAAAAAATAAAATACATCAAACCAATAATTATTCCACTGATGGCTCCTTTTTTTATAGCATGTTTTCGAGCAGATTCAATATGTTTTTCATATCTGAATCGATAGTTAAATAGAAAATATCATCAAGAAAAGCGATATTTACCTCGTCTGTTCATGTTTTGTACCATTAAAGGCAAAAACTGTGCGCACGTTGCTAAATACTTCTTCAGAAATAGCACCGGCACGTTCATATGCTTTTAATTCTTGTGCGAATAATTTTCCAAACATCTATAAATGAATAACAAAACAATTTTACATAAAAATGTAACAAAAACATACTTTTGATGAAATAATCGATACAATCAAAATAAAAGGTGCTAATGAAAGCATAACGAAAGTCATTTTCCATCCACGAAAGAATGCAACAATCAAACTAATTACAAATTTAGCGATCGATTGTATTAATAAAGCCAATTTATCACCAATACCATCATGTATTTTACTAATATTACTAAAAATAAATCGTAAAATGTTAAGTATTTAGTAATCAAATTAGTACATATTGAGAATTGTTGATAATTCTCCAGTTGTATGTGTATCAAAATAGAAGATATTTTTTTGTAATAGAGCGCGAAATACACATTCTCGCATTCGTCTCGTTTGTCGTTCACATGTTAAAGAATAAGAAGTTATTTGAATAAAAGAGAATACAAAGGAAATGCAACCTATGACTATATAAAAGAAAGTATTATTTGAAAAAAATCTTCCCAGATGAATGAGTTCGCAAGGATACCGGAAAAAAAGAAGTACTAGCAAATCCAACAACAATGACCTAATCATTCATCCAATCGATATAACCTAGGATGTTCTTGACGAAATTCTTCTCATTCATATGATCCTCCGCAAAAATGTCCTCTATTATCAGAATGTACATTTAATAAAAAAATGAACCATGCTATCTCGAGTGTGTGGAGTGGATCAAGATGTTAGGATATTATAATCATCCTACACCGACCCACACTAGAGTCCCGCGGAAACAACTTTTCTTCATTCCCATTTTCCATTCTCAAAGAAAATTGTTCCTATTCTCATATTCCCATTTGCTAAATATTCTCTGAATGCTTATCTATCTGTGAGAAAAGGTTTGATTGTCAAGTACCAGCATCTTGTGACATCACATTGTGCACAACACTACGTGTTATCAAATAAGTTAAAAATACAATCATGATTGAAGGAATATTTGGCTAACCATACAACTGAGAATTATCTTTTTAAAATATAAAAATTAGCTCTTGAGTGTGGATAGATTGGTGTCATATTCGTCTATCATCCATACTCTCATTCACCCTTAAGATGATATTAATGACGTATCAAAAGATGATCTTGATAATATCATTTTCGAAGATGATGATCAAAAAGAAAATAACACTCATGATGATCGAATCATGATTTAGTTATTAAGAATAAATGAACTTGTTTATTTTTTGGTGATACAATATTTATAATTTTTCTGTTAGTTGTATAAGAATAAGAATAGTTATTAAAATTACACAGCTGTTACATAGAAAAATTTTTATGCATATTAAAATAAGATTGAACGAATTTTGGGAACGTCTTTCTTTTACTGTGTTCCAGGGATGGGTGAGTCAGAATCATGACTCGGACTCGGAAATTTCGAAACGATGACTCGACTCGAACAGTCGAGTCAGTCGTTAAAAGAAAGAACTGTGGTTAGGTCGTACAGAAAAATTACAATTTTTAAGATAAATTTCTCGCTCATATAACATTTTGCGACCAATTGAATACGTTCCATTCTGTGAATTTTAAAAATAAAATTTTTCGATATCCATATTCATGTCGGATATGGCTGTCTCCGCGTAGTATTGAATGTATGTCCTTTGGGTTGTTTTCTTTGCGCTCATTTTCGAAAGTGTGCACATATATGTAAATGAATAAGTGATATTTTTACATTATGTGTTCTGCGACATCAGCAACGATTGAACTTGTCTTTTTTTAAACGCAATCTTTTAATGACATGGGACCGTCCGAATTTTACAGAAGCTAATATTTGTCTTTAACCATCTTTGAAATGCAGCAAGATATTAATTTCTATTGAATAAAATCAGGGCTACGCTTCTGCAGGGTGGGAAGCAGAGGGTCCGAGATCGCCACTTTTTAAAAGTAGTGGCTTTCTATAGCGATATTGCTGTAGAAATTTTGTTTAAAATCTGAGTACTATAACTTTTTCCTGAAGAGAGTATGCGAAACTTCACGACCGATATATTATGATCACCACTCTATTCTTTTTGGTATATTCCTGAATATATTTTGCTCGTAGACAGGTTTAGATGTAACTTTCTGTTCATAAAAAAAAGCACTTTTCTTTACTATAGAGTTAATCGTGCTGCTGCTTTTCGTAGTTAGTTGAGAGTAATTGTATCTTATTCTTTTATAGGTGGTTTTCCTTTTATCGATTTTTGTTCCTATGATCTTGTTATTAGATACTGTGTTGCAGAAGTTTCGTATGACTCTGTTTAGTAAAAATAAACAAAGAAGAATGGCGAACGAAAAAGTTATTTGACTCGACTCGACTCGAGAAAAGGCTTGACTCACCCATCTCCACTGCGTTCCCATTTCCGTGTTCATATTCGGTAAGTCTAAATAGGAACTCCCACTCTCATACCCATACCCATTTCCATGGGAATTGGAAAATTTGAGGGAAAAAATCGTTCCCACAGGACGCTAATTTACACTCAATCTATACAAATGACATTATATTTATCCTGCATAGCAATTGAGAACAAAGAACATTTCAGCTGAGAGACATTTTTAAAGGAAAAAATGTAGAGAACTTTTTGTACCGAGGATAAAAAGTCGGAGACATGTCATTAAGGACATTCTAGATTGTTCCCCATGCAACTAGCATCTTTATGATCAGTACTAGAGTACAATGTTGAGATAATCTTATCCGATTGTCGGATCGAATTAGATTCGAATGCTAATGATTCGGTTTCGTTTTCTGTTAGTAATTCTACCAGATTTCGATAAGATCCCGCTCCGTTCCTTATCGGATTCAATCATATGGATTCCGTTTTTTAAATTACAAACCGAGTAGAGATATAGACTGCAGATGAAGTTGTTGTAGAAAAATGCTTGTTGAAGATGTATTATTCATTATTCGAGTAAAATTACACTTGCTGTAAAATTGTGTTAATACAACCATTGAATGATTTATTATCAATAAAGAGTTACCTTGATTCTTCATAATAATTAGTCGATGTCAGGAGAATTTCTGGCTCATAATGTTGTGTACAGAGTCTAGTGAAATTCAGTTTACATAGCTTATATGATTGGTCAGAGATAGTTTCGATAACAGCTGCATAAAAATACATCATTAGAGGTCCTACCGCTCCATTTCCGATTGCAGCTAAAAGACCAATTGTTAATAAAATGATATCGAGTGAAGTAGCAAAGCGAAACTGAAATAAATAAACAAAATAATTATTTTTCGAGAACTCATTCATATTTAGATCTTACTAGACTAAAGATTGAAACTGGTTTGGATTGTTTCTTTTCATCCTTCGATTCGTGATGTTTATGCTCTCTAAAACTATTATACAAGAAGAGAAATACTACGAATAAGTTTTGTCTACTTAATAGGAAAAGACGATGAAAGATCATCTTGATCATACTGATCCAAATTAAATTGTTCAATTTTTGTCATCTATAATAATTTAGTAAATAGAATTTATTGAGGGATTCAGAAACTTCAGACACGAGCGATTTCATTGTTATCTACAGACATCAATGGAACACGGATGTAGTGGTTCCGTAATTGCTGGCCGAGAACAATACCCCCATGTTCTATCAATATAAAGCTGGTCTTTTGTATAAATAATACCAAAAAAGTTTATAAAAAAAGGGGCGACAGCAAAATTCAACAATCAGACTGTGTTAAGTTGTAATGTCAGGCTCTGAGTACAATATGAGACCAGTTCACGAAGTTTTCATTATTGAGAATGACGACGATATCTGTGACACAAATTCTACTTTTGATCCTTGGGCCATAGATATCTCACGAGATGCAGCTTTTCTGAAAAATTCACTGACAATGGAGGTGTTTGTACTGTCCCTCACGAAAATAGCTCATATCTATGTCAAATTAAAGCTCTCATCGTCAAACTAACAGGGTTAAAATATTAGCTGCCTTTGAGTTGTTTAAAGGGAGATATTCGAATTCTATAGTCCTTACAATTTGGGTATATAGAAAACATGAGGATTATTTACATTAATTTCTTATTCAATTAACTAAGAATTTCAACAGTAGACTACAAGAATCTTTCTAAAATTTATCAATAACATTAGGATCACATTAGTTTCTATGTCTTTTGGAACTTAAGTAGTATCGCAGTGAAAAATCTGATATATGATACTTTAAAAAATGACTTGTATGTATAATTTGACATTGAAGTGCATTAGTGCATCACTTGGTGGTCTAGTTTACCATTTCTTTGAAATTGGTGTAAAGGATCCACAAAGAAATATACTATCTAATTAGTTCGAAAACAATCGCTCTCGAATTTTTAAGTATTTCTAAGATATCTCTCATTAAATATTCCAAGAACAATCAACTTGACAATTATCAAACTGATTTATATGAGGTTCTATTCTAGAACCTTTGCTATCATTTTGTTCGATCGTTTACATAATCTCAGCATGGTCTCAAATGCAAACCTGTTTGTGAAAAATCGGTTATTTCTAAGAATAGCTTGCCAGAAATTTTGCATCAAGAAAAGATTAAAACATAACTCACTTTCAGTGTGCTTGTTGTTCTGTTTCGTTAGAAATTAGGCAACATATTTTATATGCCAATCGATTTTTTCATTCTCTTTTCTTCATCTTACGATAAAACTGCAACACTTTTGCGAGAGTTGTGTAGATTTGAAGAACATGCACAAGCAAATTCAAGGCTAAAAAAATGTTCGATGCAGCGAAGAAATGAAAGAAAATGAACTTCGGATTATGCATGTCTGTGTTTGCAATAAATAAACAGTGGCAAGAGACAGTTGTAACTATTTTATGAGAGAAATCTACATTAGATTTTGCTCGAGTTGTTTCAATTTGAAGAGTGCACACAAACAAAACATGATGGAAAACAAATCCGATTAGAAATAGAGGGATAAAAGAAAAGATGAAATTCAAATCATTCTGTTCGCTTCATTATCACAAAGCGCATGATATAAAAATTCATCAATTAATTTGTTCGCTAGTAAAGAATTTTTTTATAATTGGTTTGAAGATATTGAAATCATTCCGAAATGGAAGAAACTTTGAATGAAATTGAACAGAAAGAAGAATATAGAAAAGAGTAACAAACTCTCATTTATTTTTGTATTAGAGCAGCAAGCAAAATATCTGCAATGTTCACATAAATACAATAGATCTATTTTTAATATTTTAATCAATTTTATGGCGCACTTGAACAACATAAAACCACACTCTAGAGTAAATCAAGTGATGTTCATATAAAAGAATGTTAGAAACTGATCTAGGAGCAAGATTACCATCAACTTAAAGTTAGCTAACTTGAATGTGATACTTTACTTAAAACTCATTCCCTAGAATTTCAGATGCTGACACAGTTAGTATCA